CGCTCGCCGGACCCCGGGACCGCACCATGAGGGCCTGGATCTTCTTTGTGCTCTGCCTGGCCGGGAGGGCCCTGGCCGCCCCCGTAAGTGCTGCTGGCGCCGCACTGCCCGGCCGCTCCCCCAGCCCTGAGCCCGGGGAGGGCAGCTGCCCATGCCAGATGGCCGCTTCTTCAGGTGGCTGGTCAGGAGGAGGCCGGGGGGCACCCTCGGTGGGGGGTTGGGGGATGCTGGCCCAGAGGTCGTGGGGGCCGCCCAGGGCAGCTCGGGCTTGGACGGGCCTGTCCACCGCCCACATCGTGAGAGGCTGAGCCCGGAAGGGCAGAACCAAAGGGAGCCCTCGGCCTGGTCGGGGCCGGGGCAGGCCCCTGGCGGGAGGAAGACCAGAACGGGGGGCGGGGGGGGGCAGGCCAGCCTCCCGAGGGGCGCCGCACCGGGCGCTGGAGGGCCGGGGCAGGCCCTACCGGGATGACGCCCCAGTCCCGGTCAAAACAGCCACCGGGGCTGCTGACCCTCACGGCTCCCGGCTGCCGGGGGTCTGACGCCCCACCTGGGGTGCTGACGTGGCCCCCCGTTGCCCTCGTGTGGAAAAGCAGGGAGGCTTTTCCCACGTCGGCTCTGGAGGGGCTGCGGGACCACTCGGCTCCTTGCCCATCTGCCACCGCGGGTCCCTAAGCCCGGCCGGGGACGCCCCCGAGCTGCGCAGGCTGGCCTGGCTCCGGGCATGGGGCCTGGCTGACCTGGGACCCCGCTGTCCCGCAGCAGCAGGAGGCCCTGCCTGAGGAGACGGAGGTGGTGGAGGAGCCCGCGGCCGAGGTAGGTGGGCTCGGGAGGCGGGGGCAGCCCCCCGGTGCTCACAGGCCAGGCTGGGCGGGGGCTTCCGGGTGGACCGGGGTTCTGAGTTGTGGGGTCACGCCATCACCTGCAGCCAGGCATGGCCCCCGGGGCCTCGGGGCTCCTGACCTGAGCGCCCCAGTCTGTCTGTCCCTTCCGGGGCAGCCTGCGTCCGCCCCTCTCTGCCGGCTCTGAGGGGCCTCTGACTGCCCCCTCCTGCAGGTGCCCGTGGGGGCCAACCCCGTGCAGGTGGAGGTAGGAGAATTCGAAGAAGGTGTCGAGGAAGCTGAAGAGGAGGTGGCGGCTGAAAGTAGGTCCCTGTCCCCAGCCAGGCTCTACCCCCTAATGGGTGCGGCCCCGCCCCGGCCCCGGCCGGCCATTGCCACCCCCGGCCCCCCAGGAAGCTCAGCTGGGGCCTCTGTGCCGGGGCCCGGACAGGCCTCCAGTGCCCAGGGCCCGCGGCCCTCCCTCTTGCTTCCGAAGCTGGGCCAGGCCTTCTGGTCAGCGCCTGTCCCCTCCCTGCGCCTCCTGCCCACTGCGCGGCCCACTCCTCCCTGGCTGCTTTCACCGGGCGGGGGGCAGGAGTCCAGCACCCCCAGGCCGGTGCCGGCCGGCCCCACCCCCACGCGGCCTGGCATCTCCTGCCCACAGGCCGCGTGGGCTTTGGGGGACAACCAGCCACGGTTTGCACCCCGCCGCTCCTGC